GCGTTTGTGATTGTGTGTGCTATGATCCTGAAATGGCACGATTCGACTTTTGCTTTATTTGATCAAATGCTTTCCAAGCGATGGCAATGAGAAGTACTTCATTTTGCTGTGCCAATTTGTTTTCATTTCAAATTCAAAATCAGGATTTCTGATTTTATGTTAAATATAGCTTAGTGAAATGATGTTACTACTACAACGCATCGTGTGATGGAAAGAAAACATCTTTTGCTGCAGATGCATACCGAATTCCAATTGCGCAGTGTTGTGATTGAAAATTAGTACTACTTTCTCCTCCGCTTCATTCTCTTTCCAATTCTAAAATAAATTCCAATTATACAAATTGATGAAATTCAAACGAAATAAAGAGAAAGGTGACTTCATGTCATCTCATCTAATGGGATTTCTTACCATCCTCGATCCCAGGTGTTGTTACATCTCTGATTTTTCAACAAAATTTTTACTGTGATGAATGCTGAGTGTATATGACAGTCATATGATAATGTCGAAATTACACCCGAAATTTAATAGCCAAGTTTGAGATAATTAAATGTTTCGACTTAAAGTTTCGGCTACTCGAAATAAAAATGTCCTGCATCTTAATGAGGCACCACATGTGATCTAATAAGAAATGGTACGGTGAGAGAATTTGGTGTATCCGCTCATTTTTCATCACGTTTATGAATAATAGATATCGTTCAAATGTAGAATATTCTCTGGAAATCGACATCCAAGTGTCGCATACATTTTCCTTCAACAAATCTTTTTAAACAGAAATCCAACGATTGTTGAATGCACCACAGTCATATCATAAGAGTTTAATATTTCGACTCCTGTGATTTGAAGAATGAAATTCTGTATCGTCTTGCTCCTCAGCGTGACAATAGATGCGATACAAATGATACGACCTGGGGATTTGGTGTGCCCTTCCATGTCTGATCATGTTTATATATCTGTGAGGTTAAAATCACGATAAGAAACATCTTTTTTCATCTTACTGAGATTTTTTGCATTGTAAACAAAGAAATAAAGAGTGTAAAGATGACTTTGAAATAAAGATAGGAATTGGAAAATAAGAAAAAGTAAAATTAATTTAATGAGCAGTGAGAGCTTATTGTCCACTACTTGTGACCATTCCACTATTTCTTAATTCCCAATCTCTAATCTTTTTTGTTGAAGACGCCTCATTCTTGTACTATTTGATATTATATCATAGAATCTAAAATCACCAAAAATTAACATTTTTATCAACAATTTAATCTATGTGATATATTTATAACTTAATGTCCAAATTATTATTATTCATTCTTGTGGGTAAATTTAATTTAGAAATTTAAACGTATTTCAAATTCTCGAACTTGTTTAAATTCATTATTTCCTTTCTATTTCTTATTTCTTAACTAATATGAAATATGCGATAATATTACGCTATCAGTTATTCAGATGTGATACTTATGTCTATATTCAAGTGACCGTTGACATGTTACAACATAAGCTGGCTGTTATTTTTCTTCTTCACCACATGAAAAGTGAGGAAAAGATAAAAGAAGGTGAAGGGGAAAGTTTGGAGGTCATCTTTGCTATGAATTTTCCACATTTGAAAAAAGAAATAAATGATACATCCACCATACATTAATGTCAACAAATTGATTTCATTAATACATTAATACATTAACAAATTCGAATATATTACTGTAATTGTTTCTTCTTCAATGGCGAATTAATGATGATTATTTTTAATATCTCGTTATGTCAGCTTTTTTTTCCTTGCCTCTTTGATACATAAACATTTTCATATTTATCTTACTGTTAAGAAAAAAGAGCTAAAGGCATTCGTCGAAATGATTGCTAAATAGTAATTGCTAAATAAAGGTAATTAAATTATCAACATTCTAATCACTAAACAATTAATTAAATTATCAACATTCTAATCACTAAACAATTAATTAAATTATCAACATTCTAATCACTAAACAATAAACATTTGTTTAAGAACACGTACACTAATTTAATCTAAAAATCAAAATTTGATGTTGTGATTACCCAAACATTCGTCGTCTATTGATATATGATTTGTTGCCGTATTTGCCGGTTGCCGTTAATAAATATCATTGATGAAAAGTATCTATGATGTACTCTTTATGTAATATTATCTCATTATTCACCATACATCCTCGGTTATCGTAAAATATGTTCCGGAATCTGGGATAAATATGAATTATATGTTATAAAGCATTAATAAAAGATTGAAAGAAAAAAACGATTTCTATCCGGAAAAAATGAAATTAAACTGATAAAATGATTGCAAGCAACTTACATTAATTAGGATTCAATAATTGTTTTTCAAAAATTGTTTTATTTTTTTGATTGTAACGTTTCATTTCTTTGTAATGTTTCGGTTCATCTTTAGTACCATAAATTATAAGCGTTATATTACTGACAGCACCTGTCATCGCTTTATTCGTCATACTCTTTAAAAAAAATATTTAACCAAATTTTAACATATATAATTCAAATTTAATAAATGAAGTAAATCTATGATAAAGGCTTATTTTACTATTAAATCAGTTCCTTTTCTCATTCAGTTAGCTCTTGTCAATTCCTAACAAGCTTAATCAATTTTAATAATTAACTTCATTTAATTTACAATTAACTTAAATTCAAATATTTTTATTACTTTTCAAAATTAATAATCTCCGTTAAAATCTCAAAAGATCAATAGTAAGAATTATCGTTCAGGAGAAAGCGTATAATTCACATTGAGGATTATGCAATAAAAAGTTTTCTTTCTCTTAAATGAAGCAACCAGTTTTTCCTGGTACCTTTCCTCACAATATAAGTATTTAGCAACATTGCTATTAACCATTAAAACTTGATCAAGTTACAAATTTGACCAATTAACCTGATCCGCGATATTCAATTGCCAAATTCCGCGTGGACTCTCGCCCCAAGTATGTACTGACATAAACGGCCATTGTTGAAAGCCAGCTGGTGATTTATCTCTACGACGAACCGAAAGAAGTTGAGTTCTGGTACCTATAAAATAATAAGTTTCTTTTATTTTTTTCACAAATCTAAATTCTTGAAAAAAAGTTTTATAGAAAAGGAAAATGGAACCTTTTGGAGAAATGATCGATATTGAAAGATGCCCACGTATTGGATAATGTATATCTAACACCAATTGTATATGTTCCAGAAAATTTATTTCATTTTTTTGTCCCTCACAACCGTTCGTTTGAAATTTGATTACCGTTACGCCTTTATAATTTATTTCGCTAAATAATGCCAATAATTTTTGCAAAAAAAAGGAATTCCAGAATTTGAGAAATGAAGGAAAAAGAATTGATAAAAAAATATAATTCTAATCCTATTTGAAACGTTACATCTTATCATCAATGGCTTACATATTACGATAGGTAATATTCAAATGCTTAAAGGCATACTATACAAGTATACTGTATTATACAGTATCTAAGGATGAAAATGTAACATATCTTGTAATGATTGAAATAGCTTATTTATTATTTTGAATTAGAAAGTTTACCGTTTTGAAAAAGTTGGAAAAATAGTGGTACAAGTGTGTTGCTCCGGTACATTTGTCCAAGTTTTTGCTACCATAACAAATGCGCTCGCATCCATTAATCCTATTGAAAATTTTTGTTAAAACGTTAGAAAATTTAACGTATTTTTGAGACTGTAATTGATGAGAAATTTCAGTAAAGAAGATAAAAATCATTTCATTCTATTCAGGATGAAAATAAAAATTACCAAATCCGAAACGTGAATTTACAAGTAATCCTCGAGCATTTTTATTCCAACCTTCATTAACATTCAGCAATGGTACAGGATTTGAGGTCCAAACAACGATATGCTGTACATCACGCCATGTTAATGATGGACTACAATAGCTTTTTAATTTTTAATTTAAGCTTCATTATTATTACTTTTAATTTAATATATATATATATATAATTCAATTCATTATTACTTTTAATTTAATGCAAACATTAAATCTGATTTGATTGACAGGTGTATAAGAATGACAAAAGCTTAAATTCTCAAAAATCTTCTGATATTGTTTGTAATGTTTAATTTGCTAACTTCTTACTTCGAAATATTTTCTTTTCTTTAACAGGAATTATACATTTAACATTTATATTTCATATTTAAATCTTTTGGCATGGCATACTGTAATATATTTCAGTATTGGAGCTTCCGGATAACCATAAACTATATCATACTGTTTCCTATACTATTGAATTGTTTATATTATTTGTCATGCAAAAAAATCATTTATCGGATATTAAAAAACACCATCGAAATGCTAATTATTATTAATGAGAATTAATTTGAAAATTTAGCAAACTTTGCATCCAAACCAAGAGCGATAATTGCTGCTGCCATTGGAGCTGATGCTGAAGTTCCGGCAAAAGTTCTTGTACATTTATTTTCTATATCGGTTGTTGTCTAGAAATTAAAAGTTGCAATTAAATTTAACAGACTATTTTCTGGCACTAATAACTAAAATCTTCAATTACGGATAGATTCCAAACATGTAACATAAATCCTTATACTGTAGTTATATTAATTTTTCAAGAAATTTAGTCAAACTTACAATCATTTGCTTTTCATGATGGCCATTCGAAAATGTAGACGTCAATGTAGCGGCACACTTTTCAGCATACCATGGTGAAGTACCATCTTTAGTTACACTTGATACTGATAACGTATAAATACTATCCATGTAACCATCGCAACTGCAATCATCACCTTGCGTACCACCATTACCCGATGCCCAAACATAAATGACACCTTTGCCACGACGACCCTACAAAAACATTTCTCAGGCAAAAAAAAAAAAATGCCATTCATTATCTTAACTTTAATTAGATATTTTAAGATAATCCAAGATTTTCATACTTGTAATTTATCAAAAGCATTTTTTTTGTCAATTCTTGTAGAAATTCTTCAATACTTGCTGAATGCCTTTTAGAATGGCTTTTTGTGTTAATCGTCCAGGACCTTCAACCGTTTTTCCATCATCCAATGGTCCCCAACTAGCGGAAAAGATATCGATATGATTGATATTGTAAATCAAAGCTTCCGCTTCAATCCTATCTGTAACTTTACCACCTAACATTCGTACGCCTGCAAAAACTGCATAAACAGAAATTGTATTGATTTGACCCTTTGGATCACAGTTTAACATAAGCAAGAGTATTAATGAAATCAACGATTTAGAAAAGTATGACTAATTGTTAGAAAATAAAAAAACTTATAGTGACCCAAAGGGTCAAAACAATATTATTATATTATCTCTTGTTTAGAAAGCGAATAAAACAAGGTTTGAGTAAAAGAAAAATGTGAAATACCTCCTATTTTAGCATTATATGCTATACCGACACCACAAAATGAATTATTCGGAGCCATTGCAATTTCACCAGCGCAACGAGTACCATGTCTAAATTCATTTAATCAAACTTCCTACGTTTTCTCTGATACAGAAATTATCTTTTCATTCACAATGCTATTCGATTCAATTAGCGAAAAATAAAAAATATACCTGTTCAGCTTGTTAAATTTAGGCATTGGATCAGGATCATTGTCATTTAGATCATATGAAGCTTGAGGATCCTTAAAAAAAGTGGTGATAAACAAGAAATAAAAGATCGCCATTTGAATTTGATTAGCATAAGCTAAATGTCAATAATATGAAAAAGTTTTTTCGATGCTTTTTAAATTTAATTTTTAGAAACTTATTCCTTTTATTACTTTTAATTCTCAAACTCTGACAGATATTAGAAACTAACATAATTGATAACAATATCTGTATGATTGTGCTGTAAGCCATCATCCTGAAGAAGAAAATTATCAATTAGCTCTAAATTTTATCAATTAATTCTAATCCATTTATCGGTATTGCAACTAATGATGTCATATATTTGAATACCATTCCAAACTAGATATTTTGTCAAGTTAATGAAAGATCATGAAATAAGAATGGCTGAATCCAAGAAAAAATATCATTGCATGTTAATCATTTTGCATTTTCTGATGTATCAAATGCTGTCAAGTGCTAATTTTAATCCTTGGCCAACTGAAACAATGTCTGATGTATAACTTTGTTGTTATCAGAAGCTGCAATAATCCAAGGAGAACGATGAAATTTAGATAATTTCGTTAGTTTACTCGTATCTTCAAAGAATACAAGCTTCGCACAATAGTTGAAAGAAATATATGACAGCAGTTATATGTTCTAAAAAAGAATCGCAAAATTTCTTATAAATTAAATTTTGGACCAGAATTGTCACGACGACACCTTTTCCAGTATAACCAAGTTCCCAGGCTTTCATCACATGCATACTAATTGGTTGGCCATTTGTGGTTCTCGAGTTTTTCTAAATTATTTCATTATTCTGCAAATTTTCGCTCACAGAAGTACTGCATATTTGCAGGCAAATAAAACTACAATTAATATAAATTGTAGTCAATATAATTTAAAAATAAGAATTCTCATTCAATTTCAAATATTAATTAGATATAATTATTACTCCTTTTATTCTATTTATTGCAAATTTAAAGTCCGATGAATTTGTTCAAATGAGACGGTATTATATAATTTAAATGCTATACTAAATTTTACGCATTAAAATTTATAATATAATGCTAATTGTTCAGTTTTATCTTTTCATAAATTCTTTCCTTCAAATCTTTCTTTCCTCATTTTCTCCTGAAACTTTCAAAATTATTTATTTTATAAAACATTAATTCAAGTATGAATGAAAATAAATTCACAACCAAATTC